CCACCCACCACTACAAGTGTAGAGACCACCACCACAATGACGGACTGAAACCAGTCCTCGTGCAACTACTACCGCCCCACCCACCACTACAAGTGTAGAGACCACCACCACAACGACCACTGAAACCAGTCCTCGTGCAACTACTACCGCCCCACCCACCACTACAAGTGTAGAGACCACCACCACGACACCGACCACTAAAACCAGTCTTCCTGCAACTACTACCGCCCCACCCACCACTACTAGTGAGAAGACCACCACCACCACACCGACCACTAAAACCAGTCCTCTTGCAACTGCCACCGCCCCACCCACCACTACAAGTGAGAAGACCACCACCACACCGCCAACTACCACCGCTTCCTCAGAGATTACGACAACCTCCAACCCAATGAGTCCCACAAGGGTTTCCACAACTGACCCCCTCACCACGAGACTAAGTTCCACTCTACTCACACCGAGACTCTACAATCAGTCGAGGCTCAGAAGTCAAAGTTTCTCTGATGATGTCTGTTGTGCCGTTGATGCTCCACACGCTCTTCAAAGCAATTTAGCCTAAAAGGACAGAAAATAAAATGTTTCACAAAATATGTGTTTAAATGATGTCCGATTTGGACTAAATACATTAAAAAAAGGAGTGAAAGATTTTATAAAACCCATGTACAATGCAGCTTTTACAACATTTCCAGATTATTTTAATGTTATTGTCACTGTGTAACATTTGCATTGAATTGAATAAGACAATTTTTTCACACTTTTGACTCGTAGTGAATATTAATGACATTATGGTTTGTCTTAAATCAGCAGGTTAACTTCAACGTTCATGTGATAATCTGAAGTCTACGTAGAATAGAGAACAACTTGTTATTGAGAAGGAGTTGTGATGATTGTGGCTACTGATGTAGTTTATGGGTGTTGAAGATAGCTCTTTGAGCTACCTGTTCACTTTAAAAAATAGTTAAACAAACATGTCATGATGAAGAAGAGCTGTGCAGCAGACATATAAAATAATACAAGCAAAACCATAAACAATGCATAATCAAATGAGATTCCATTAAATATGAAAAGTTGCAATAAAAGTTTAATCATCTACTTAAAATGTGTACAACTTTTGTTCAATCTTCAGATCGACAGAGGGCCAGCAGAGCCTGGAGATGATCTCCTTTGTACTGCTTCTGTTGGAGAGAAATGAAGTTTGCATGTAAACAAGCTTTTCCCTTTTAAAATAATAAGAAGTACTTCACCTCTATAACCTCTAAGTGAGAACACCTATTGCACCCTGTCAAGGCGTATTTGCACAGTGACCCACCTGTAGAGCAGTGTAGAGAGACGTGCCTGTTAATTTAAGGAACGCAGCTCGGATACACAGCAGATCTTCCTCCGCGTGTGAAACCGTAATCCCTTGCAGTATTGGGGTCTGAAAGAGGGAGATATTTTATGTATGGACTTCTGTTTTGTATAAAATGTTCTGTATGTCACGTACAGGTTACGCATTCACTTAAAAAATAAATATGTGCACTTTATTATGAATTAACAGGATCATCAATGCAAATTCTACCATGATTTTCTCAATTAACACGACAGTTAATGTACCTTGTTTCTTTGGAAAAAATCAGTTATATTTTCCCAGAGTTTTTTTCACAGAAGTCTTAAATGACAACAACAGCGGTCCAACAGGAACCTGCCCCACTACTGCCACCTCGATGAAGGGGACCAGACCCCCATCGAGGGCTGACGTGGGTGGATGACTATAAAGGGAGGACTCTGTCAGTCTGCTGCTTGGATCAGGTGTTCTGTGATTTGACGATTAGCTCCCTCTTGAGGCCAAGCGCTGGAGTTCATCTAAACCACTACAGTACTGAACTGTACTGTACGTACAGATGGGAAAAGAAGAGCATTCATTGAGGGGAACGCTGAAGGGGCTTGCTATTTGATTGAAAGAATTCATACTTTCTTATTCCAGTTAGAAAGAATTGAAGTCCACATGTCAACAAACTTTTCATTTTTCCTCCGCGTGTGAAACAATAATCCAGCAGTGGAACGTGACAAAGATGATATCACCGTATATTATAAAAGTCATTAACGCTTTTGTGGCACCACTCTCAGTGAAGGCTCTGGTGAAAATATAATAATAATAATAAAGAAAAGAAAACAACCAGAATTCTGTAAAATGCTGATCGAGAGAGTTTTAAGATCTCTGATTACACGTTAGGTATTATTTCTCTTTTTAATGATTTACCCAGGACAAGAATCTCACGACCTTCATCCTGATACTTCAGCGGTTACACATGCAAATTATATTTAAACTGATCAAATAATCAATTATTATATCAAGCTACATAAATAAAGGGTTTGTACAACACAGAAGCCTTTCAGACACATTTGTTTATAGTTAAAAATTAAACCCGATGTCAACATCACAGTCAGCCGAGTATGTTTTCAGCATTGTGAAATATTTCACGATGAAGTAAATTGAATGTATTTCATGAGTAGTTTTTACTAAAGTCTCCACCTGCTGTAAAATGCACAGTAATGGATGCGAGTTTTGGATCAAAGAAGATGAGCATTCAGAAGAAGAATTCATACTTTCTTATTCCAGTGCCGTAAAAATTGTTAATCTTCAGTGTATCATTTATGTAACCTAACAGGAATATTGCACACACCTCCACAACCAACTTCCTTTACCAGATCATGCTGTACGTCACAAATTCACCCTCACCCCTCCATGAGATGTTGTTGTATAAAAGCAACAACCAAACGTTTTATGTCACTGCAGAGGAAGGTAGGAGTAGACAAGGTACCAGTGGGAGAAGCGCCGCTGCACAGCAGACACATCAGCCCGTCTCCGATACAACAGGACATTTTACGTTACATTTTCAGTTTAACTCTGCCTCCTCCTGACTCTCCACCATGAAGATCTGGTCTCTGGGATTTTGCCTAATGGCTCTGCTGACATTAGGAAAGGTAATTTTTAAAAACGTTCTTCAGGAAAAAACTGCCAAAACCTTTTACTATTGTTGTAGACATTTCTTTTGTACTTAACAAGATGTAACTGGTAAATTAAGCGCTGGTATGAAAACCTTGGCAAAGTGCGTGTGTTTGAATCAGCGCGCATATTAGTCCCTTTGTCCTAAAAGATCTGTCTTCCGTGCTGTTAAGTAGTTTGTGTGCAGTTATGAAATTATTATTACTATACCGCTGAAGGAGTAATATGAACTTGCTTAATGTAACCAGTGAATCATGTAGCATGAATTGTATAATAATATGTTTAAAATATAGAAGTCTCTAACACGATGACTTCAAAATCTTGTCAATTGATACATGGATGGTAACTATGGAAAGTATTGTTGCCATTTACTATATATTTGATTTGTAATACTGACCTAAATCGTTTTACCTGTTTCGAAATCAGGCTCAACTTGAAGCAGCGATCACACGTTACAGCTGTTTTACCCAGTGAAACTGTCACACCTTCACCCACCACTACCAGTGAAGTGACCACCACATCGACCACAATCCCCCCGACAACTACAACCAGTGCTCCTGCAACAACCACCGGCCCACCCGCCACTACAAGTGAAGTGACCACCACATCGACCACAATCCCCCCGACAACTACAACCAGTGCTCCTGCAACAACCACCGGCCCACCCACCACTACAAGTGAGAAGACCACCACATCGACCACAATCCCCCCGGCAACTACCACCGCTTCCCCAGAGACCACGACCACCGCCCGCCCAGTGAGTCCCACCAGTGATTCCACAACCGACCCCGTCCCCACGGGACCAAGCTTCACTCCACCCACACCAGGCCCCACATTCAACAGAGGCTCAGAAGTCAAAGCTTCTCTGATGCTGTCTGTTGTGCCATTGATGATCTTCAAAGCTGCAATTTAGCCTAAAATGACAGAAAACGAAATGTTTCAATAATACGGTGTTCAAATGAAGTCTGATTTGGACTTAAATACATTAGAAAAAGGAGTGAAAGATTGAATAAAATCCATGTACAACGCAGCATTTGTAACATTTCTTCTGTTATTGTCAGTGTGTAACTTTCACATTGAATTGAATGAGAAAATATGTTCACTCTTATAGTAGTAGATAGATAGTAGGGTTGTGAATATTAATGAGGTGAAGGTTTGTCTTAAATCAGCAGGTTAACTTCAACATTCATGTGATAATCTGAAGTCTACGTAGAATAGAGAACAACTTGTTATTGAGAAAGAGTTGTGATGACTGATGTAGTTTAAGATCCCTTTGAGCTACCTGTTATTAAAAATAAAAATAAAACTTGGATTTTTATACCGTCTGTACGTTTAAATGTATTAATATATTAACATTGCATCCAAAATTATAATGAAACAATGTTTTAAAATGGGTGCTATTTGGAATAAATTCAGCATGTAAAAGAAGAGCTGTGCAGCAGACATATAAAATAATAAAAGCAAATAACCACTTCATTTGCATTCAGTGTTATGTTGTTTTATTAGTCTTTAAGATAAACAATGCATAATCAAATAAGATTCCATTAAATATGAAAAGTTGCAATAAAAGTTTATTTTTCTAACACAACAGCCTTTTTCAAAGGGACGAGAACAACTATAGTTAATCATCTACTTAAAATGTGTACAACTTTTGTTCAATCTTCAGATCGACAGAGGGCAAGCAGAGCCTGGAGATGATCTCCTTTGTACTGCTTCTGTTGGAGAGAAATGAAGTTTGCATGTAAACAAGCTTTTCCCTTTTAAAATAATAAGAAGTACTTCACCTCTATAACCTCTAAGTGAGAACACCTATTGCACCCTGTCAAGGCGTATTTGCACAGTGACCCACCTGTAGAGCAGTGTAGAGAGACGTGCCTGTTAATTTAAGGTACGCAGCTCGGATACACAGCAGATCTTCCTCCGCGTGTGAAATCATAATCCCTTGCAGTATTGGGGTCTGAAAGAGGGAGAACAGGCCTGTTCTCTTTTGTATAAAACGTTTCGTATATTAAAGGTTATGCATTCAGTGAAAAAATAATTTCTACCCTGATTTTCTGAATTCATGAGATAGTCACTTAGAGAAAACGCATGAGGGCATTGTGCTCCGATGGGTTAACCCATCTTTGTACATCTCGGCAATAGAAATTTTCTCTTCTTTCCTTAATAATAGTTTGATTGATTATTATTAAAAGGTGTAGAATGAATCTGAATGAGTCTTTGTAGTGATGAATGCAATGATGAATCACTTCTTCCGATGACAGAATGGTTTGTTAATCTTATCGTCAATTTACACAATCAGAACAAAGGGGACTGTTGATTTTGTTAGCATCTTACCTTTGCTTTAACTAGTCTTTTGGCGAGATAGACACCAGGGTTTTGGATGCACTGCACTGTCATGGCACAGATATCAAAAAATATCAGTGACATGATCAACATTGTCAGTCCGTACTTATAAACCACACAGTATCTCAAACTATATCTACCTAAAACTTTCAAACCCTGACGAACGTCTCCTGTGAACTTCTTGTCTAGAGTCTGATCCACCGTCTGTCCTCTCTGCAGCTCCAGTCCGTCCAGCACTGTGGACGAGGGGATCCAACATGTTCACAATTAAAACAAATAAGACTTCTAACAAACTGAAACGTATGTGCAAGAACTGTTAAATGTAATGTAGGTATTCACCTTTGTTAAGATGATCCGAGTCTCTAGAGGTTAGAATGTTGATCCACAGTGCCGCATCAGCTTTTTTCCCATTCAGCGAAGCAGACAGAGACTGAATGAAAACGATAAAACACATGTACAAAGAGCTGAGAGATTTTCTCCCTTACAGCCAGGGGACTTATTCCATAATACAGTAGTTTGTTGATATACATGTTTTCATAAAGAGACACTCAAAAATGAGTGACACTGGCATACTAATTTAAGGTGACCTATTTTCATGCAGGTCGCTCGTATCTTTACTACCATCATAGCGCAGTGTTAAAACTTTGCATCTTCTTTATCTTATTCAAATTGAATTCTCAGAGCAAAAAAGTATCATAGAAAATATTACCTCAATATCTTTTTGAACTCCAACAGCAAAATTGTCTTTCTGTTGGATGGAGAAAAAACACCATAAATATTTATTTCAAGTTTATATCTAAATAGAAAAAGGATAAATTCCCATGTTTAAAGCTTAAATGATTTTGCAACATTATTAATGCCAGTAGCTTTAATTATGAGGTTGAAGGTGACAATAAAATGAATATCAAAATTACATTCAACAAAGCCAAAACAAGGTTAGAGAAGTCTCCGCTGGTTTCCCCTCTCAGTTCCTTCTCCAGGTCCTTCTTGAACACTGAAAAAAGGGATTATATGAATTAGTGAGTAATAATGTGACGACTCGAAGAGACTGACACGAATAACTTCCTGTTTTATTCTTTTTACCACTTTACTTCCTGTCTTTATTTAGTTTCCTGCCCCCCCCAGCTGAGATTAGTTTCTGGTATTCCTGTTTTTTAATTGCCAGGCCCTTTTCTCTCTCACTCTCTAGCGTGTTCAGTCCGCTTGTGTCTGAGCTACTTTTTGGTTTGTTTTGTAAAGTTGATTTTCCAGTAAAGATTCTCAACCTGGAAAGAAGTATTTCCTTGTTTTCTTATTCTGCGCCTGAGTCTCAGACCTCTTGCAATTAAATGGTAAACGATTAACCAAAGACAAAACCAAATGGTAAAAGGACTAGAAAAGTTCTGTGACTTACAAAGCTTGTACATGGCGCTGATTTCCCGAAGCTTCTCTCCGGATCGTGTACACAGGATCTCCAGTAGTGTTTCCTCATCTGTGCCCAAACCCTACACACACACACACACAGTGCATGCTGTATTTATATTGTGGAATGGACAGCAGGTACGGTAAAAGCCCCCCAAAATAACCATGAAACACCCACTCACCACCATGGCTTGTTGCAGGCGAAACGCCTCATATTGCACAGGAGGCATCAACAACTCCAGCAGCAGAATCTCCAGTTCTCCTGACATTGCTTTCTTCACTCCAACTGCCAAGTCCTGCCACAGTCAGAATAAACAATGAACTCTCTGCTGACTTTCAATGTACCAGACGCAATAAACAATGTAGGTTAATGTGAAATGACTGCATTGAAAATCTTATTTTAAATCATGCATTAATGTCAAGGGTGCGGGTGGAAGGCAGGACTCAAATGCAGACTTGCAGGAAAACAAGACTTGCTGGCCACTTCCTGTTGTATTTTGTCGTTTTCTGCCACTCGTGTCCCCGGGTAACTTCACTTCCTGCCTTGTCCCGTCATCCCCTGTGATCGTCTAATAGTTTCCACCTGTGTCCAATCACCTGCACCTCCCTTGTGTATTTAAGCCGTGTGTCTCTTGTGTCACTTGTCGCGTCATTGTCTTTCGTCGTGGATGTTTCTTGTCAATCTTCCTGGATGTTTCTTGGTCCCTGCCTGTATTTTTGCCACGGTTCCTGTGTGCGTTTTTGCCCCTTGGCCTTTGCTTTTGCCTGTTGACTATTAAAGTCTTTTGTTTTCCTGCAAGTCTGCATTTGAGTCCTGCCTTCCACCCGCACCCTTGACACATTAATGTGTGGTGGCCTTTCTAATGTATTGATATCAATATAAAAAAGCATAACATGAAGTAATGCAAGTAAAGTAAGTATAACTTTTGACTTAAGAACAGTACTTGAGCAAATGTAGCCTACTTAGTTCCACCAGTTACTTAGTTACTTAGGCCACTGGACAGGCTGCTGTAGTTTAATGTTTTATTCAGTTTATTCTTGTCCTTTCGTGGCCGTGTTTAACCGCTTGTTAGCCACCACCTTTATAAACACATGTAAAAGCTTCAAACTTAAGAAGACGGGTAGTTATAGACATTTGTTGATTTGCAGTACAATGTGTTCAACTCTCTTATGCTCGTGTTAAACACAGACCTTATTTCAGATATCCCACCAAAACTCAAACGAGCATGTTTTGTGACACTGTCAACTTAAATAACGTAATTAGTTCTGTGTCTGTATTTTGGGACTTTGAAACTCTGATTACTGTGCAACTGAAAGGAGTTTCTGACAGATGCGTCCACCTTAAGTAAATGAAACAGTTGGCCAAAGTTGATCTACAACACTACAGCATCATGGTCATTACTGCGCATGCTGCTCCCACTCTAAATAAAGGTGTGACCTAAACCTTTAAACCATGCAAATGATGTTTGAGCAGCAAACACTTGGAGGTTACAGATGAGCAAACACATCATCATCATTACATACAGTGTTGTCATTGCAACACTTTAAAAGTGAATATGATGTTTTAGCTTGTGCATGCTTTTATTGAAACAATGTTATGTGCTTACTGACCTTTTGTGTCATTTCCTCGAAGGTTTGGGCGATCACTTGTCTCTGAGCGTTGGTCCGATTGGTTAGGATTCTCACCACGGTCACCGCATCTGAGCCGGGTGCACAATGTCACATCACTATATTTAACCACGGCAGGGATGGAAGAGTAGGAATTGGTACAGCTTCATCCAAAACTGCTAAAACCACTTTTGTCAGCAGAGGTACCTTTGTTCTGCAGCGCTGTGCGGATCTCCCTTGCATCCTGCTCAGGGTGGAAGTTGGGGAACGGTCGCACCGTTCCAAGGGTTCCCCAACTCATGTTCTACGTGATGAACAGGAAGAGTAAAGGAGAGGGAAACAAACATTTGTTAAAATCCAAAAACAATAAGGGGAAGATTTGACCTACATCCGCACACTGGATGCACATCCTGTCTGCCTGAGGATATTTAAATACATATGATATGATGAGATATATGAGCATATGATCAGTGGAATGTGAAACAAAACAAGATAAGGATTTGTGAAGATATGTCATGAAGGGGTTGGCCGAAGATGGACAAAAGATAAATGTCAGTTTTCATTGTGTTGTAATTAAAAAAATGTAAAATATTCTGTACCCCTGCGTTAACTAAACAGAGGGCGGGTAGTAGCTTGGAGAAATAGTTTGACAACGTCAAGTGCTGAATATTTATATTAATAACGTATCGTCTGTTACCAACGTATTCCACCCCCCCGAAGGCAACACACACATAGTGACGTTAGACGGATCCAAGAACACAAGACAGCAGCAGATTACATTATCTTATTATATAAGACTGTGGTGTCTTGGTAAACTATGTCCCCAAACAAAGACAGACGGAAGACTGGGCAGGAAACAGTGTACTTACATGGGATTGGAAATATTCAGGGTCCATGGTTTTGTTTGAACTGCAAGAGATTAATTGTTCATACACACATATTGAGTAAACAAAT